GACGCCTGATCTACGAGTCTCTTGTTTACAACTGTTTTTTTAAACTATAAGGAGTTAGATGAGATCTCATACTAGCTATGGCCACGGAGTCGCGCCCGTCTGCCATTGGATGTTTATTAATGTTTCCGAAAGGAGGCATATGGTTTTTCTTATATTGATGTTTCGAATTGGAGCATGGGGAGATAACCTGGTCTATTACTTAATTTAATTAATGAATGAAATGAATTATTTATTATTAATTAGTAAAGTCTTAGTAATGTTAACAGTTGAGACATGTGCCTGAGTAAATAATTAAATTATGTGTGTTGATTGCTTATTAGTAGTATGCTAGGAATTCTTGTGATATTTCGTATCTCGTATGTACTCAGCGTTGCTGATTGCGTGCTTTTGTGTGTCTTTTCTTGGTCATGACCTTCGCCTTTCAATGACCCTATAATGATCCGATTTTTACACTCGTAATACTGGGGAGCACATTAATCATAGATTTTTACACAACCAGAACTTAGCCAACAAGGTGGTGGGATTTTGAGTGGAGTGTTGGATATTTCCACAATATATTTCATTTCCTAAGTTTGTATTTAATTTAACTCTGGTTGATTTATTTACTACTTTTATTGGGTTTTGAATAAGGGCTTAATGGTTCCAACTTGTAAGAGTAAATTTGGTTTTGAAACTTATTGATAACTGAGTTAGTTTTTCCGCTGCTAAATTCTGAACTAGCTTTAACGTTTGAACACGTGGCGGTAGCACGTCAGTAATTCTCTTGCAGATTGTTAAAGGTATTTACAAGTTTTTAAAGAGAGAATTATTGGGGTGTTACAAAGTGGTATCAGAGCCAAGTAAACAACCTTAATTAATATATGGTTAACAAATAATCCCAAAATTATAAACAATACACTACTTGTGCATGAATTACCGAAACTAGTAACCTTATATTAAATCAAACTTTAATAGTTTATGTTAGTAACAAAAATAGTGATATTAGTATAAAAAAAATGTAATGTTAGTATCAATATAGCATTAGTATTATACATTAATGATATTAGTAATTAGTAATGATACTCATGATGATAATAAGATAAGAAGCAATTATTATTTTGTTGTTGTTCTAGTTTCGTGCGGCAAAAGAAGGTTGAAAGAAAAGAATTTCCATTGCACCTTAGCTTGCTGGCAGCAAGTTACAGTAACAGTGAGGTGGCGTAAGGCAGTGGTGAAATGAATGGTGTTAAGGCGAAAATATTATGGCGACATTTGGCGGCAGCAATGGTGGTGCGGTTGCGGTGTTTATTTGAGCAAACAAGAAAGGAAAATAGAGGGAGAAGGAGAGGGCCGTAAGTTAAGAAATAAAGTAGAGAATTTTCTGATTTTTGATGTGAGTAAATGAGAGTAACTAAGGGTCTATTTATAAGTGTGTAAGGGTAGGAAGATAGAGTTCAAGAGAGTGTGGGATTAGTATGAAAACAAGATAAGTTTAGGTTAGTTAAATGAATTTGAAAGTAATTTGGCCTAGGTTAAGTTACGTGAGAAATCAAATGAAAAAGATGAGAAAATAAAATAAGATTAATATTGATTTAGTTGGAGGAGTAAGGATAGAAATCAAAGTAATCTACAAATTAACTACTTAAAGGTTAATAAATATGATATCATTCTCAAAACATACGGCCAACAAGTTTTTTGTTTTGTTTTGTTTATTTTTTTAATTTTTTATTTTTATTTTTTTAATTTTTATCGAAAATCAGATTTAATTAATAAAATAAATGATTTGATAAAAATACAAATGTATTAAATATTTTAGATAATATCAAAGTTAAAAGTAGTTGTAAATAATAAGATGATAATTAAAATTGTTGAATATTATTAATTGATAAAATTCGGAAAATAATATAGTTAAGTCCAAATTAAAAATACGTACAACATAAATTTTGAAATTAGTAAAATATATACCGACGAAGATAATTAATTATTGTTAATTTAGAAATACAAAAAAGTAATTATTTGTTCAAATAATTAAATACTTATATTTTGGCTCCAAATTCAAATAATCAAAGGAATGATTTAGAAAGTATTTCTCAAAATTCGGGGTATTACAGTGGTGGTTCTCATGGTGGTCAATGATAATGGTTTTGGTCGATGGTGATGGTGGTGGTAGCAACAATAGTAAGGGGAGAGGAGTTGTTTAATTAATAATGTTAATTAATCTAATTAATTTAAATTAGCAACTAAAATTATGCTTTTAGTTATAAACAGGGGTATTATAGTTATTTCATTTAAAAAAACTTACCAAAAAAGGAAAGAAAAAGTTTGTTGCACATTATGTGTAGTTTCCCTTTTTGGCAAATGTTGCAGATAATATGTAACGGAGGAAGTATATATATATATATATATATATATATATATATATATATATATATATATATATATATACACACACACACATATATATATATATATATATATATATATATATATATACACATATATACACATATATACACACACATATATATATATACATATACATATATATATATATATACATATACATATATATATATACATATACATATACATATATATATATACATATACATATATATATATATATTGTAAATAAAAAATTGTTAATATTCCCATCTAATAAGTTGATATTTCTCTTAAACCGGATACCTCTTTCCTTTGCCTTTCACACATCGAATCACAGTGATGTGTTTGTAACAATATGGTTACTTAATTTTGCAGTGTGTTATGCTAAATTTTTTTGGTTGTTGTTTAATTATATCTATTTTTCATCTTTAATTAATGTTAGTAGAAAGTAATAGATTTCTACAAGTCAAATTTGTAATTTGCGAGAAAATTTGTTTTTTTTAATTAAAGGATTTAATCGTTTCTTTATTGTTACCAAGATTTTTTCATCATTGTATACATCTTTTCATTATAAAATCAAAGTTAAATATTTTTGCTTTAATTTAATTGGAATAGAAACATATTGAGACATGTGAGCCAGAAACAACACAGCAGCAACCACCGCCCAAATTCAGCCCCAAAAGTCTGCAAAATTACAGCCAATTCTGCCCTAAAACCACTCAAACCCAAACACCAATAACCTCCCAAATCGCAGCACTTAAAACACCCAAACAATAGAACACAAAAATCAAACAAAAATCCAACGAAACTCAGGATTTCAACAAAATCAGAACAAAATTATAAATACATAATCAATTCTACACAAAATTGCGGGGAAAAAGAGGAGAGAAGAAGAAGAATACCTTATAAAATCGAAACCCTAACAATGGTATTAAGAACAACCACAATGCAGCAACCACGCAACAAAATAGCGGTGTCGATTGGGGTCGCAACGCAGCAACAACAGCAGCGCAACAAGAGATTGAAGAGAGAGAGAGAGGGAGAGATCGTCGCCTAGGGTTATATAAGGAGAAAAGTGGGTCAAATGACTAGAATGAACAAAGGGTTTTTTTTTAAAAAAAAAATTATTATTATTATTAGGCCAAATTAGAAAATAACACCCAATAAAAACCCCGATTTTGATAATAACACAAGTTAAAATTTTTTTTTATTATAACACCGCCAAAAATCCCAAAATTTTGGTTTCACCACCCACTAACGGATTTCTGGATGGAAACCGTTAGTGGGGCCCATTAGGGACACATGTTAGTTGTTTATTGGTTTAAAAAAAGGAAAATAATAAAAAAAAACAGAGAAAAACCCCTAAACCCTAACCCAGCCACCGGCGGCCGTGACTCCACCGCCGGAGACCCCCAGTGCCGCCGGAACCCTTTCCTTCACTGGCGAAATCACTGGCCATCAATCCCACCCACCACAACCCCTCTTTTACCGCCGAAACCACGATCCCTACATTGACGAAAAGGAAAAGTCTCCATGTAACACCCCAATAATTCGCTCTTTAAAACCTGTAAATACCTTTAACAATCTGCAAGATAATTACTAACGTGCTACCGCCACGTGTTCAAACGTTAAGGCTAGTTTAGAATTTAGCAGCGGAAAAACTAACTCACTTATCAATAAGTTTCAAAACCAAAAATCAAAACCAAATTTAGTCTTACAAGTTGGAACCATTAAGGCTCTTATTTAAAACCCATTAAAATAGTAAGTAAATAAATCAAACCAGAGTTTAATTAAATCCAAACTTATGAAATGAAATAAACTATGAGGTTAACCAACACTCCACTCAAAATACCATCACCTTGATGCAAGTTCGGATTGGGTAAAACCTGTGATTAATCTGCTCCCCAATATTACAAGTGTAAAAATTAGATCATTACAGGGTCATTGAAAGGCGAAGGCCATGACCAAGAAAAGAAACACAAAAGCACGCAATCAGCAACGCTGAGTACATACAAGCTACGAAATATAGCAAAGAGCCCTAGCATGTTACTAAAAATCAATCTGCACACACACAATATAATCATTGACTCGAACACATGACTCAATTGTTAACATTACTAAGACTTCACTAATTAATAATAAATACCCTAAACCCTAAACCCTAAACCCTAAAACCCTAAACCCTGAACCCTGAACCCTGAACCCTAAACCCTAAACCCTAAACCCTAAACCCTAAACCCATGATTCTCCACATGTTCTGAGGTGCAATTGGTTTGAAACTTCTCAGAGATAATCTTTGCAGCAGCCGCAAAAGAACTTGTTTGAAAAATATTATTAGGCCAGTTTCCCTTTTTAACTTCTTTAGCTAAAAAGTCGAGTAATTCCTGTTACATGTCCTTTGACCAACGAAAGTTGACCTTTTTCTCTTCTTTTATAACCTGGAACAATCACTATAGAATTAGAATCTCGATAAAAAAAATAACATATAATAACATATAAGAAATACATAATAATATAATAACATATCAGAGTAACATCCACTAATCGAGTGCTATAAGCAAAATCTCTATCAGTACATCATGTGGATTAATTCAATCATTCATCACATAACTCAAATCCCAATGGAATCAACAATCTTAGGTAGCACCAGAACTTTCTGATGTGTTATCAGCAACTTCAATTGGAGAGTCAGCAAATGCCTTATTTACAGCATCACTACTGATCACTGAAAATACATAATCACTGAAAATGTTATCTTTAAAAAGATAAACTGTTATAGAAAATAAAATACATAATTAATGAACTAATTATCTAAAGATGCATATGCTAAGCCCATCAAATTCGAGCCTTGTATACAGTCCACATCGCCGTTGCAATGGCCTTTCTCTTCCTTTCAATTTGTTGGTTTTCTTCTCGTTGTTTCCCTCGAGTACGTGCTTCGCCCATGTGTTGTAAATCTTGTGATGTCATGTCTACTTCAAATTCTCTTGTAATTGGGTCATTTGGGTCAACACCTCTAAGGTAGTTATGTAACACACAACATGCTAGAACTACATCTACTTGGATTTCATACGGCCAAAATGGCTCAGCATCCAAGACACGAAATCACTTCTTTAATACTCCAAATGCCCTCTCCACAACCATTCTTAGTGAGGAGTGTCAAAGATTAAATAATTCACGTTCATTCTCGAGTGGATTGTTGGTATACTCTTTCAAGTAGTAGCGAATACGCCTATATGGAGGCATGCATCCTTTACGTTCACCATACCCCGCATCAGCAAGGTAATACTTTCCTATAATTTTAAGAGATTTGTCATAGTTACTAACTTATAACCAATGCATAAAAGAAACCAGAAAAAAAAAATCTTAAAGTACCTTTAGAAACCTTAAATCCCCTTTTGAGCGCATCTTGCAAGACCTTTGAGTCATGAGAAGAACCCTCCCAACCAGCCAACACATATGTAAATTTCATATCAAAATCAACAGCACCTAGCATATTTTGGGTTTTCCCACCCTTTCTACCACGAAATCGACCTTGCATTTCAATTGTGACAGATGCACGTATATGTGTCCCATCTATAGCTCCTATGAAATCCTCAATCCAAGGAAAAAACCTAGGGTTGTTTTGAATTTCAGATGGAGGAGGAGAGGCTTGTGGTTTGACAAAATCTGGGTACAATTTAAGGATGGCTTTAAGAACAACATGAAAGTAATGATGTATGGTCCAAATTGATTAGAAAAATCTTCCCCCTGTTGCCCTAAATCTTACATTATGCCCTAAAATGTATAAAAATATCATTACTTGTTCTTTAACACCTATTCGAATATTTTCTTTCAAAAGTCCTCTTTCAACTAGAATATTACACAAATCAAAAATTGCTTGAGGCCTTATACGAATCTGACCCAAACAATGAGTATCACCAAAATACAAAACACTATTAACAATCTTCAACCTCAGACTATCTCTATTAATATAGGGTTGCCTAATTATTCTTAGCCTTCTTGTTTTGGACCTACGCTCGTTAAGACAACCAAGAGAACAAGCAATAACAGCAGCGCAGCCACAGCGCTAATAACAATGCCTTTAGTATCATTAGTCATCTACATCAATTCCATCAAAAAAACAAAAGGTAATCATACTTAGATTATTAGATGTATATTAATATGATAGAGGTTTTGGGGCAAAGTTATACCTTAGATGATTTTTGGGTAGACAATCCACGCTCCAATTCCATAACTAATGCTAATCTAAAAAAAGAAAATTACGGTAATTGATGGTAATTATAATATTATTTCCAAGTATTGAGCGTTAAAACTATATCAAACCACCACCCCATCATTATGTAGATTAACAATATATTTCAACAAATCTTCAAGGCATACACTAGGTCTTGCACCAAACCCAACCTGGAAACACAAACCTGTTCCTGGAAATCAATATATTTCAGCAATATATCCTTTTACACCAGTTCCTGCACAAACCCAACCTGGAAACACAAACCATACCTCAAACCGCCCACTAGATCCATCACCTAACAACACCGAGCCACTCCATCGCACACCCTCACCAAAACCCGCAGTCGCACCTCTCCACAATCACAACCATTTCGATTTTGATTTAACAAACCCTAAATATCTTATACAATGCATCAAATTAATTCTACTGCTAAATTAACCCTAAAATTTCAATAGCACAAACTAATTCTACTTCAAAATTAAACCAGATTTAAATAAACAAATCATAAATTGTATCCTAATTAATCACAAACCTAACCAAGAATTTCGAGAGCAAAGATGTTGAATCCAATAAAGAAGCAAACAATCAAACAAAGGAAACAAAATAAATTGGAAATTACCTTGTGAGAGCAGATCTTCACGCCGCTGAAGATGAGAGAGAGCACCTAGAGCTTGAAGATGAGAGAGAGAGAGCGGCGAGCTTGAAGTTGAAGACGATGGAAAACAAGAATACCTTGATTTTTTAGGGAAAATATTTGGGCCTCAATGGAAAAGTATTTTCTAGCCTTATTTTCCATTTTATGGGCCGGTCCAAAATAAACAGTAGAAAATAGGAAAACTATTTTTAGGGAAAGGCTTTTCCCTTGAAACAAACAGAGCCTAATTGTTTTTTCTTTTTTCTAAAACCCAGTAATTACCAAAAGCCCGCGTTCCACCACTGCCCCTGCTTTTTACCAGGATATTTTGTTTACACCCCGGATTTTGGCAAAACAAGCCCAAATCGGATTCGGATCTTTCAGCCCTCGATAATGAAGCACTATTTCACACCCGTCACTCTTTCATTCGCTGTAACTAGTCCTGTTAAATTTCAAACCGAAACCGCTTAATTTCCCGAAACCAACCGACCAAAATGAGAACCGAACCGATAAAAAACTGATTTTTTTAAAACCGAAAATCGATCCGAACCGTATTTTAGTAAACCCGAAAAGGAACCAATCCGAATAATGTTAAACTGTATAAGAACCGGACTCGTTAAGGAACCAACTAGTCCTAAACCGAACTCAATGGAAACCGAACTGAAAAAGAACCAAACCGTTTCTAACCCGAAACCGTTTGAACCGCGATAAATAACCGTTTACATCGAACCGTTAACTAACCGCAACCCGTTTGCACCGAACCGTGTACAAACTTAACCTTTTATGAACCGAACCATTCCGTTTATGAATCAAATCGTTTACAAACTGCTTACTATAAAGGAAGATTAAAATCACGTTAAAATGAATTTAACTTGAAATCTAATTATGCACACATGTTTACTACAGATACGAAGTACATTATTGTTTTAACTGACTTTTTTATGTAATTATGGATTAAGCAAAAATAATCTTTGTCTTCTCATTAAACAACATCATCAAAGTGTTACATATATATTGTGCTCAGAATTATATTTGACCAAAGCCAGCCTAATCAAATTCTTATGATGTACTCCAATTATTGTAATTCTCAAAAATTTTAGAATAGATGATTGCATCCTTTGATCTTTCAAAAACAAATTAAAGTCAATACAAAAATTATAATAAAGAATATGATTAATTATTTCATCAACTGAAAAAAGAAACTCGAAAAATTCTAGCTTGAAACCAACTGACCCAAATGAGAACCGAACCGATTAAAAACCGATTTTTTGAAATCAAAATCTGACTCGAACCATATTTTAGAAAACCCAAAATCGAACCAATCTGAATAATGTTAAACCGTATAAAAACCAAACCCGTTAACGAACCGAATTGAAAAAAAAACCGAACCGAAAAAGAATCGAACCGTTTCTAACCCAAAACCGTTTGGACCGGGATAAAAACCGTCCACACCAAACCGTTAACAAACCGCAACCCGTTTGCACCGAACCGTTTACAACCCGAATCTAATTAAAACCGCTTAAGAATAAACCGAAAACGAACCGCACTGATAATAATTTGAACCCGAATCTAATTGGTTTGGTTTATGGTTTACGAATTAACTAATTTTACAACTACAGATTCATAAGTCCTTACAGGTATGGCTGTGCAGAACATGAACGCACCGCATTAGTTTGCTAGTTGAGAAAGAAACATCCAACAGCACATCCAAAAAAAATCCACATTGATTGTATGACGCCCCGACTAAGCAGCCACTGCAACGTTTTCCTTTTTTTTCACATGCTTTTGTTGGTTACTCGACTGGTGGTGTCTCTAGCTTCTTAATTCCGATGTTAGTTATCATCAACCTACTTGACGCCTGCAAACCCATTAATATATCCTTTCTAAGGGATAAGGTGAGTTTGAGACTCTCAAGTAATGTCATAAATATTGATTTTCAAATTTGCATTACCTATCAGACCTTTGGTTCTGTGGTAGTTCTTTCTCCACTTCATCTTAATTATGATCACCTTGGCATCGCGCATGGTGTGCGAGATTTATGCGTATGGCTGGCGAGGCAAGAGGCCAGCATGCGTGGCTCGCTAGCAGCACGCATGCTGGCAATGCTAGCAATGGTGCGAGAGAGAGATGCAAGGCATAGCATCAGCGCCAGCACGCACCAGCGCATGGCACTGGCAGCACCAGCGCCAACACGCAGCACCAGCACAACCCATCAGCAGCACGCACTGGCTGGCTGGCTGGGTGCTGGGCACAAAAGCGGTGCTAGCTGGCAGCCAGCTAGCCCTCCTTGACCCGATTTTGTGCATAGAGTGTGGGGACCAAATCATGGCCTTGGGGATCAAGGCAATGGTCCCCCCCCAAGCCTTGGTCCTCAATTGGCTTTCTCTATTATTGTCCCATGTGTCAATTTGTGACTGAATTGATTAATCATTTAATTTTGGAATTAAATAATTATCATTTTACCAACTCTCCCACATTGATGGGAGATTGGAAATCAAGGGATCATTTCCCTATAAATACCAAGCTTGGATATTTGGGAATGAACAACCTTGAGTGGAATTAAAAAGGCAACTCTAAGTAAGAGTAAACCTTTGATTCGTAAAACTCATATTTATTTTGTCCGGGTCTTGACTAACCTTCAAGACTTAGGACGCTCGGGTCGGGTCGAGGGTACGATCTGTCGGAGATCTCGTGTTTTCGGGATTTTGAAGTAAGAGCTCTTTGGGAGCAAAGCACGCGTCAAAGGTATAATTCTTGTTCTTAATCTTGTTTGATTAAGTTTAATATGCTTGTTAATTGTTTTAATTAAGGGGCGGGTCTTGGTGGGTTTCCTTCCGCGTAGTGTCGGGTCACTACGAAACCCTACAATTGGGTACAGTATTGATGATCTCAAGGGTATTAGCCTTGATTTTTGTATGCATAGGATACACTTAGAGGACAATCACAAGCCATATATTCAACCCCAGAGAAGGTTGAATCCTAACATGCAGGAAGTAGTCAAGAAAGAGGTTATAAAATTACTTGATGTAGGTATTATTTATCCTATTTCTAACTCAAAGTGTCCTGTACAGGTAGTACCTAAAAAAGGTGGGATCACTATAATAAAAAAACGATAAAAATGAATTAATTCCCACTAGAACTGTGATAGGGTGGCGTATGTTTATTGACTATCGCAGATTAAATATTGCCACCAAGAAAGATCACTCCCCTCTCCCTTTTATCGACCAAATGTTAGAAAGGTTAACTAACCATAAATTCTTTTGCTATTTAGATGGGTACTTTGGATTTTTCCAAATTCCGATTCACCCTAACGACCAGGAAAAGACTACATTTGCATATCGCAGGATGCCCTTTGGACTATGTAATGCCCCTGCTACCTTTCAACCTTGCATGATGAGTATTTTTTCTGAATTCATAGAGTCTATTATGGAATTCTTTATGGATGATTTTAGTGTGTATGGGTCTTCATTTGATACATGTTTAACTAATCTCACTAAAATTTTGAAAAGATGTGAAGAATGTAATTTGGTCCTAAATTGGGAAAACTGTCACTTTATGGTGACAGTGGGAGTAGTTCTTGGTCATATCGTATCTGATAAGGGTATACAGGTAGATAAAGCTAAGATTTATGTGATTGAGCAATTACCTCCACCAGTGAATGTTAAGGGGG